GATACATGATACAAATGGTGAAGTGGCTGGAGGAGCTGTTATCACTATAATATCGCACTCTTATCAGCCAATCAGATTCAAGGACCAGAAAGAACTGTTGTATAAATATACTGTATCTATACACAGTGTGCATAGAAAGTAAAATAAGTTTGTTTTGATTTAAAAATCATGTAATCATTTAACCCCACACTGGGGGTAAAATAAGCCCCAGCCTGGACCATGATGTAGTGCAGTGTTTGGGTAAAAATTTATGACCATATGCCAGTGTCACCATTCCTGTCAGGACCACTATCATCAAAGATGATTGACAATTAGCATACAGTTTGGATTGGCGGTATGGTTCTGTTCTGGGCAAGAACTCCCTGCGCATTCATGCAGCCTAGCATGGATGAGAGCAGGGAGAGCATTGATAACCCCCCAGGGTAACAGAACAGAACCAACATAAATGTATTGCGGATATCATTTATGTCCAATAATTTAATGGAAACATTTTAGAAATTAGTCTGATTCAAAGGTGAATCAGAAGGCGAATCCTGACTAGACAAAAAGGAGTTAAGGGCTTTCCACACTGAGCACGAAAAAGCTAAATGAATATCGGACGCGATGACGCGCTAGAATAAAACAACAGATTCCTATGGATGCTTCCACATAGAGCGCGAACATTCGCGCACCGAAAATGCGAATGTTTTTTTTCGAACCAGACCGACGAATCTTTTCCGTTTCGCAAAGCGAAAACAAGGGCCGTCCAATAAGATTTCAGCTAGGATCACGTGACCGGAGCAGCTGCTGTTGCACAAAAAGGGATGAGTGGTGGCGCTGTTTTGAAAACCAGTTAAACTACTAACACAGAACAGAAGAAGAGTATCCTGAGAGAGAAGAGAGTGGATGACGAGTTTTTGTTATTTTTGGTATCTGAGAACAGATTTATTCTCACATGTTCTTAATATAATTTCTATTAATTATCCACTGAATTATGTGATCTAGAGTGTCCGTTTTCTTCCACGTGTGCGAGTGTTATTAGTCAGAGCGCGTTCACTCTAGATCTTCCATATTAATAAAATCAAGGGAAACATTTTTCTACACATGAAATATGAAAGCACATAGACATGATTATGACAATATATTTTCTGTATGTATTTTGTTTAGAGCTCATGGTATTTTTATAACAATAAAGGATGTTTATTACAATAAGCAGTGTGGCGTTATTAAACATGCAAAGAGTGCATGTCTGCCTAAAATAAAAATAAAATATAGATCACAATCGGGAGTTATTACAAGCACTCAATGATGGTTTAAAGTGGGTTTTAAGCAAATACAGTAATTATTACATCAATTTTCATTAATAATTACATAAATTGGCTTGATGCTAATTGTACTTCTATTTATATTTTACACAATTTTCTTGTAAGCATTATAGATAGTTTGTGTTTCTGGCTTAGAACCTAACTATATTTAGCTATATTTATTTAATGCTGTATATTGAGCAATGGATGATGTCACATCCATATACTGTATGAGGAAAAATGCATTGTTGGTCAGCACCTCCTAGCGTGCAGGTGTGAATTAGGTGAAGACGAACAATCGTTTCGCGTTCAGTGTGAAAGCATTGTTCGTCTGCGATTCGCCTCGCTTTTTCACATCGCGCTCAGTGTGGAACGGCCTTTAGGGATGGAGGAGGGTAATTAGCTATTGAGCAATGCGAAACCTGCTGATGATACTGAAGGACCATGTTGCATCCCTATAGGCAGACGTGGATAAGCTGAGAGTCAGCTGATGCGAGCTTGACTAACGTGACCTGCCAGAGCTACGCTTTATTTCTGTCAGGACCACTATCGTCAAAGATGATTGACAATTAGCTTACAGTTTGAACTGGCGGTATGGTTCTGTTCTAAGCAAGAACTACCTGCACATCCATGCAGCCTAGCATGGATGAGAGCAGTGAGAGCAGCGATAACCCCTCAAAATAAATCATATGCCAATATCCCCCAATATGCCAATAACACAAAATGACAGTGAAAATCTCAAAGCCTTAAGCAACAAGCATGTTGCCCTTACCCAATGACCCAACGAGTATGTTGCCGAAACCCGCATACTTAACCAGATGACCTAACAAGTATGTAGTGTGATGAGTCGGCTGCCTCCCCCCTAAATTATCAGCTTCACCCCGTCCCTTAATCGCCGCCCTTCGCCAGGCTCCTGACAGGAGTGGGTGCGTGAGAGAGGAGGGGCGCTGAAATAGCCAGGGCTGGCGGCGTGTGATGAGGCACACCTGAACCGAATGGAGCCTCATCACCACCTCGGGAGACCGGTCTCTTCCCCGTGCATGCACGCTGGTGTCCTAGTGGGTCCAGGAAGGGAGCGTTGAGGGATCTCCGAGCCACCGAAGATGCGAGCTACTGGACCCGCGGTCTGGATGAGAACCGCACCCATTACACGGCCGACGGGCCAGGATGCCGGACTGTCTAGTTCCTTCAAGCACCGTGGGCAGAGAGAAGGATGAAGCCGCTAAAAGAAGCCGCCGCTCCTTGCGCCCCGGATCGAAGAGTGGAGCACGTGCGGCCTCCGTCCCTTACCTGGACCCTTCCTTCCCGAACACTGCCCCACCTTCACAAACCCCGCAGCACGACGAGGACACCAGATCCCCTGTTTATTTTGAACACCATTTACCCTTTGAACACTTTATTCCCTGTTTTTTTTTTTTTCTGATAATAAAAGCCTCTGTGACGCCACACCCACTGTGTCTGTCGTTTGCTCCTCCCGCCACAGTAGCCAATACCTAGGAAGCTTACAAGACAACAACATTTTCTACAACAACCAGATAGCTTTTAGATAAAGCATGTTTCCAACCTAGCATTTGCCCTAAGAACAAGCATTTCCCCGATACAATCACAGCTTGAAGAACAAGCATGTTCCTAATAAAACTACAGCTTTAAGAACAAGTCTGTTCCTAATAAAACTAGAGCCAAAGACAAGCACATTCCCAATACAACTATAGCTTTAAGAACAAGTATGTTCCTAATACAACTACAGCTTAAGACTAGCACATTCCTAATACACTATACAGTTTTAAGAATAAGCGTGTTTCCAATACAACTAAATAGAACAGGCTTGTCAGATACTCGAACAGAATCACGCTGAGCTAACTTCAACTGAACAACAACTCTTACAATGCATTTAGCCTAGCACGGGCATTTTACTGAAAAATGACTAATAAGCCTAAGCAAAGTGGATAGCCTTAGCAACAAGCATATTGCCAGTAACCTGAGAGCATTAAAAAGGAACTTATCTTAGCTTGTGAAGACATTCAGAGATGAATGGAGAGTGAAACAATGCCAGCTGTGACATGGATGCTTGATCTCTTGATATACTTAATGCGAGGAGTGCAGATCCCATCTAAACTTGTTCTTGAGTCAGTCACATTAGTATAACTCATGGAGTCCATGTCAATAATACAACGATGCTAGAAGCATTGCTAACTCAGTCACCTCCAATCAGGCAGCTTATGATCAATGTGACGAATTCGCATTTGAAGTTCACAAACTTTAATAAATCTGAGGGGAAGTCCATGGGGGGAACGAATACCTCTGGCTAAATTCCCAATTGCACAATTTCTAGTGAGATGATAGGGTTTGCCTGCCAAATTTGTCATTTAATTAGCTATTTAGCAACGCAAAAGCTGCTGATAATACTGAAGGACCTTACATATGGGTACTGTGATAGATGTCGCATCCCTAAAGGTAGACATGGATCAGCTGAGAGTCAGCTGACACGAGCTTGACCAACGTGACCTGCCAGAACTAATGCTACGCTTGATATTTGCTCCTTGATTAATGAAAAATCAAGCTCAAATAACATGTTCTACATAGCATCACAATAAATAAATAAATAATAATATAAATAATAATAAAAATCACATTCATTTTCTATTGTTGTCGTAACATTCTCCTATTATCGTGTTGTTGTTATTATTATTTATATTATTATTATTATTGTTATTATTATTATTACTTGTCTGTCAGTTAGTCCACTGATGTGTCAGATTCTTTCTCTGACAGCACAAAAATATCTGAATTATTCATCACAACAAGAGAGCACATTTGGATAAAATGATGTTACGCTCATGTCCAACATCAAAGCAGCTGTCTCTCACAGCCCCTCAACGTGTGATGTGTAATTAGCTTTTCTTGTCTATCTGTTAATTCTCCCTTTCTGCTCTAATGAATATATTGCATAATAATGCATAATGTGCATAATCAATATTGAAGGGGAAGAAGTAGAAGCTCTTATTACAAGTGAATGGTATCAGGTTGCTAAGGAACAGAACACAGAGAGAGGCAGTCAGAATGAAGTATGCATCACACTAAAGTGAACACTTTGTAGTGTGCCTACTTTCATCATTTTGTATTTATTATTTGAATGGAGTAAAATTGGTTTAGAAAAAGCCCATTGTTAGCTGTATAATAACAGCCCCCACACAACTGGATGTCAGTGGTTTCCACAACAACCATCGCTTTGCTGTTGACCAACTTTGTGGCATTTACAAATCAATTCTGCAAGCTTGGCAAAAACTTGAGCACTGAACGCAACTTGCAATAGTCACATGCAACTCCTGCTACACCAGTGGTTATAGGAGCAGTCATAACAAATGCACATAGCTGAATTTTTGGCTTTGAATCTAGGTCTAAATTATATAAAACAACTTTACAATCTGTCATTAGTAAACTAGACAGATTATCTTGTCTTTTCTCAGACTGTGTCATATTAAAGGTAATTTATACTTGGATCTAAATCACCACAGAAGACCTAATGTACATCAGCAGTTTTACCAAACATTTCAATCTTTTCTGTACTTTGATGTTTAAACGTAACAACGTTTTTCTTTTCAGTCACATATATGCTCTTTAAAAGTCTTGTCATTATTAATTATCATTATCATACATTTGATAATGATCATTAATCATTAATTTGTTATTAAATTGTTATTAACAATGTTCTCATAGATACTTGATGACAATGATGGCAACATTGACACCGGTGTATATGAGTTGATGGGAAGAGCAGGTAAGTTTGTCTCAACCCTGGTAATAGTTTATATACAATTTTCATTTTTGTTCTACTTTTTGTTAACACTAACTGCTTATTGTACTATATAAGAAAATCAGTTTTATCTAAATGAACACTACTGTGTATTGTGTAAACTATGGCATCTAACAGGATTTGTTATTCTAATATCACAACATTAGTATTACTGGCTTCATCTCTGAATACCATTAATATAAATGGCTGATATTACTTACTAGACTGATTAATTCTAACGTTCAATGCTGAGAAGGAGTCTAGCCTAGAAGCCTTAGAAGGACAGAACTCAACCTCACTTGGATTCAGCCTTCTGATTGAGAAGCACTATTTATTATATACTGAAATTAATCTGTGGGTAACACTTTATTTTAAGGTGTCCTTGTTACACGTTACATGTACTTACTATTATAATAACAATTAATTATGCATAATTGCATGCAAGTGACCCTAAACCAAACCCTAATCCTAACCATATAGTAAGTGCATGTTTAGAAAAAGCCCATTGTTAGCTGTATAATAACAGCCCCCACACAACTGGATGTCAGTGGTTTCCACAACAACCATCGCTTTGCTGTTGACCAACTTTGTGGCATTTACAAATCAATTCTGCAAGCTTGGCAAAAACTTGAGCACTGAACGCAACTTGCAATAGTCACATGCAACTCCTGCTACACCAGTGGTTATAGGAGCAGTCATAACAAATGCACATAGCTGAATTTTTGGCTTTGAATCTAGGTCTAAATTATATAAAACAACTTTACAATCTGTCATTAGTAAACTAGACAGATTATCTTGTCTTTTCTCAGACTGTGTCATATTAAAGGTAATTTATACTTGGATCTAAATCACCACAGAAGACCTAATGTACATCAGCAGTTTTACCAAACATTTCAATCTTTTCTGTACTTTGATGTTTAAACGTAACAACGTTTTTCTTTTCAGTCACATATATGCTCTTTAAAAGTCTTGTCATTATTAATTATCATTATCATACATTTGATAATGATCATTAATCATTAATTTGTTATTAAATTGTTATTAACAATGTTCTCATAGATACTTGATGACAATGATGGCAACATTGACACCGGTGTATATGAGTTGATGGGAAGAGCAGGTAAGTTTGTCTCAACCCTGGTAATAGTTTATATACAATTTTCATTTTTGTTCTACTTTTTGTTAACACTAACTGCTTATTGTACTATATAAGAAAATCAGTTTTATCTAAATGAACACTACTGTGTATTGTGTAAACTATGGCATCTAACAGGATTTGTTATTCTAATATCACAACATTAGTATTACTGGCTTCATCTCTGAATACCATTAATATAAATGGCTGATATTACTTACTAGACTGATTAATTCTAACGTTCAATGCTGAGAAGGAGTCTAGCCTAGAAGCCTTAGAAGGACAGAACTCAACCTCACTTGGATTCAGCCTTCTGATTGAGAAGCACTATTTATTATATACTGAAATTAATCTGTGGGTAACACTTTATTTTAAGGTGTCCTTGTTACACGTTACATGTACTTACTATTATAATAACAATTAATTATGCATAATTGCATGCAAGTGACCCTAAACCAAACCCTAATCCTAACCATATAGTAAGTGCATGTAGTAAATTAATATTACTGAGTATTTAAATGTAAAATTACACTGTAACAAGGACACCTTAAAATAAAGTGTAACCAATTTGTGTTTTAAATGAATTGGTTTAGTGAATCATTCAATGACACGCTCATGGTACCTGTTGTATATATATATATATATATATATATATACAGTGGGTACGGAAAGTATTCAGACCCCCTTAAATTTTTCACTCTTTGTTATATTGCAGCCATTTGCTAAAATCATTTAAGTTCATTTTTTTCCCTCATTAATGTACACACAGCACCCCATATTGACAGAAAAACACAGCATTGTTGACATTTTTGCAGATTTATTAAAAAAGAAAAACTGAAATATCA